TATATATAAATTTATAATAATTAAATACTTTATTTTGCCATACGTTGTAATAGCTGTTTATTTATAAGACATAATATTTCACATATTACAATGTACATATACTTTCCAATCGTAGAATCGACATCTTGCGATCGATTGAATATTTACGCAATACTGCCCTTTAACACGTATACTGTAATATTTTTAATTAATAAACCAATCTTCTTTGTTTATTTATTAGAATTTTTACAATAAGACGCAATGCACGACCTTCGAAATGTTAAATAAACGAGTACAACAATCTAGAATCTAAAATTTAAATGAAGGTATTATATAAAATCTTGTAGACATGCGATCAATCTAAATACTTACTTACAGATAATCGAATGCATTCTTAATTTATTTCTAATTTGTATAAATGCATCGATATTTTCAAATAGAATTTTAACACCGAAAGAAGATACATAAATTTCTGACAAATTCGTATAATATTTAAATGCATTTCCATCGAATGCCGATTATAAAGTTTTTATCGATATGCATATCAAATAAAAAACTTATCTTCGAAAATAAATAATTATATAGATTGTTCTATAGCTATATTTTCAGTTATAAATACGAAAAATAAAATATTTTTTGTAGATTTTAACCCTTATCGGTCAAAGGGTTGATATAGAACTTATCGTTTCGTAGGTATTTTCTTTTTGGTAATGGTATTTTAATATGATTATTCCGAGTGAAAATATATTATTTTATTGTAATTTTATCTAAACTTATTTTTGAATTATTATTAGTACACTGATTTTAATTCAAATATAACATACAAAATATTTATTAGAATAAACACCCTTTAAAATTAAATATTAAGATTTTCAAATTTTAGAATATAAAGAAATGAATTTCTAAACGTAAAATCTCTGTAAAAAAAATAATATTTTATAAGACAGAAAGATTTTAAGCATTTTTAAAATGATTATAAATTAGAATCTTCAAAATTTTTATAAACTTCATCATCATTATAATAAATATTAAAGTACACGTAAAACAATCACTGAAGTATCACTATATGTGTTGACTTCTAACTTGTAAATTTTTAAACCTAAAAATAAGTATTCACAGGTTGCAAATTTATACTCGGCAATCAATAGGTTTTTACTTGTTCAGTCTTGTCACCTCTCACGTGAAATACGATTGTTAGAATTAAAACATCACGTCAAAGGTAATATATAACCGACAAGGGCTAAAATCCAAAATCAACAGTAACAGAATAATGTTTCAGTTCGTGCGGAAGCTTTGATTTTTTTAATGTTTAAAGACTTTTTTAATCTTATCACGCTCGATTCTTTGGCGTATCGTTTAAAGCCATCAAACTGGTTTCGCTACCAATAGCTTCGATTTATCATTAATTAATGAGACAATGATTTAATATGTAACTTGGAAGCAAGTGGAATATTATCATATTCTTCTAGTTCTTAAAATAGTTAAATTACGCTTAGATCACACAAAAACGCATAAATTTGAATTAAAAAATTCAAAACACATTCAGCCAAAGAAAATAAATCATTAATTTCGTTAAATATTATTATAATGCACTTTGTTCCTGAAAATATCACGATAACTGATAAAATACGTATGTACATTTTTCTTGAGCAAATAATCGATATGAATTATCTTCATTCACATATTTGTGGTGGACAGCCAAATGAGTACAGTCAGAATTATTAGTTCTACACAATGTAGAATGTATTAGTGCACTCATTTTGTTTTGATAAAATTTTGTGTTATACTTTCCGGCCTGCCCACCAGTAATATATATAATGAAAAAATTGTATCGTTTATACGAATCTGTATCTTAAAAACTCAATTTGAAATGTGAATAATGTTATGATTGACTTACTGTAAACTTCATAACAATATTAACGACAACGTTCGCAGATAATTCGAACGTATTTGTTTTTTCGTTTTGGATTGAATTGCCATTTAGTTGCATTTTAACAATAGCAAGTAAAATCGTTTTACTCTGTCTTGCCCTCCTTCGAGCATGGTTCTTCCTCTTCTTCTCCATCTCGTTCATCATCACCTTCTCCAACATCAATAGAGCTGTGATCAGTCAAGTCATCTTTACCATCTTTATTACAACCTGGTTCCGATTCTTCAACGATATCTTGTTCTTGTTCTAGAAAGTCCGTAGGTACAAATTCCATCTGATCTTCGCAATCATTCAAATCCGGTGGACCAGGTATTTCACAGAAATTAATTTCTCTGCTTTCATCATTGAGATCATCACCACCTGGATCGTCTTCCTCGTGAAAACTGATAAGCTTTTCAAAATTCACTGGATTTGAGTTATCTTCATTACTTTCGGGAAATATTTCGGTGGGACTTAGAGGTATATCCAAGGGTTCAGTTTTTACTGTTGTGGGAGGAGATGTTGGTGTAATTGGTCTTTGTAAGCGAATTTTTGTGAAAGGTCGTGGCTCAGGAGGTTCCGATTGTTGTCTTTTTTGCGCGCGTTTAGGACTAGAAAGAGTAGGGACGCCAGAAGTAGAAGGCTTGTTTTCTTTGGTTTCGTTTACAATATGTGGCACTACTGGTTGAGATATTAACGTTTTTGTTTGAGGTATAAGCATCGGTGGTTTCGAGTTCTGCAAACGAATGATATTCAAAGTTTGAATTACTTAGCTTGAAAATACGATTTTTATATTCATACTCGAATATTATAATATAAATATTCGTTACCTGTGAGGAAGGACTAGGACCAGCTAATCCTTTAACCTGTAATGCCTCAGCTGCATTTAATAATTGAGGTAATTTGTCATGGGCAACATTAACTTCACCGCGATACATGAACTTGACTAATGCTTCAACTTCCCAGAATTTTAAATCTTTCATTAAGATTATGGGATGCTGACAAGGATTTTCTCGCAACAAATCTGCCAGATAATCGCTACACGAGGATAAAATCATCTTGTGACATTTCAGAGATCGTCCTTCGCAAGCTAAGGTTACGTCAACAAACTGTTCCGAATCCAGAAGGGATGGGAAACTATTCTGCATGTTACTATGGTAACTATTCCACCTTAGACACACCTGAAATTAATACGAATCGTTTTAATTTGTTCGACCAAAGTAGCGTATGTATACTTTGTTTCAAATACCTCCGTAGGTTGTTGATGCACAATATTTTGTGGCACGCCTTGTGGAGTCTGTCTCGGTGGCATCTTAATCGTTGTTGGCGCAACCTGCTTCACCTTTAATGGTATCGTTTTTAATACAAGAGTCTTTGGTTGTCGTTGTTGCTGTTGCTGTGGGGAGGGTGCTGGCGCGATATTTCTTATATGTGGCCTCATAAACGATTGAGTTGCTATTCTAATGGTTTTAGTGGTAGTTGCATTAGATTGTGAGACAGGCGTGTTGGACTGTAAAACTATAATGAAATAAAACTAGGAATTAGAATATATGTATAGTATGGTAAGAAAAAACATTAAAAAGAATATAATACGGAGATATATTATATTATAATATACAGTCACCCACAGGAATATTAATACCCGCCACCCCACTGTCAATTTTAAATAATTGATATTGCTTGTAATATAAAATCTCAAAATTCTTATGTACAGAAAAATATTTCAGGATTATTAAACTTTCAAATTGATATAAATTTTATTGCAAAAAAACATTTTATTGCTAGAGAAGTATAATTTTACATAAATAATAAAAAATTGGTCTCACAGGAATATTCGTACCTACAAAGATATAATAAAAATATAATTAATATTTTTGTAAGTAGAGTGCTTAATTAACCATCCTTTGTATTTCATAATGCTTTTGAGACGATTAGGCATATTTCAATTGTATTATTTTCTATGTAAAATTATATTTCTTTTATAATAAAATATTCTATCGCACAATAAAATTTATTTTAATTAAAAAGTTTAATAGTTCTAAATATTATATTTTTGTATATAAGAATTTTGAAACATTGCATTACAAGCATAGATATCAATTGCTTAAAATTAGCAGCCCCCGATACGAATATTTCTGTGAATCAATGTATATAGTAATTAACAACAAATGAAGTGAAATCGTCGAAAATCAACGATTAGTTTCGCAGCATGTGGTTCTGTTGTTTACCGTGATAACTTCTGCCGATGAGTCTGCCACCATGGTGTACCCTGAGATGCCGATGAAGGTTGGTGGTGCCGCATTGTCGAGGATTTGCGCCACCCCTGACAACAACGGCACCGCATATACGGCACTGAGCACGCAGCGGGTCATTCGCACAGAGGTCGAAGTGAGCCCAAACTGCGCTGGGATTGGCCATCGCTCGGAGACTGCGCGCGTGCGATCTCACCCTGTGGGTCGTATTGGTGTGCCTACTAGCAGCAGAGGGTGGAGAGGAAGCCGGCGACACAACAGGCATTCCATTGTCCTCGAGATAACAGTCCTCCTCATCTTCCGGTTCCTGCTTCATCGCTACTCCTTCGAGTTTTTTGACTGACTCGACGAGCTCGTCGTTCGAGCTTGTGTTAGCACCACCACTATCGCCACTCCCTTGAGCACTCAATTTTTGTTCTTGGATGATTCTGTGCGAAGTCAGCTTGGTGGTGTCCGTGGTACCGGCCACCAATACAAGCCGACCTGTCGTAGTTGCACCGGTATTCGCCGTCTTGAATTATTCTTATTCAACGCTTGGGTTTATCAGTAGTCTTTCTTTTACTATTTCACCACTCTTTTTATTCTACTCCCTTTTTTTTCAACGTTTAAACTTTTGCACTATCTCGGTTCTCCGTTATGGCCCGAGGTGCGCGTCTTTTTGCATTCTTTTTCTTCAGCCAATGAAGTATTGCATTTTTATCTTGAGAAAAAAATCCTTGAATATCTTTAAATTAGGCTAGTCTTTGGTTAGTACACAAGAGAGAAGAGAACGAAAATTATGCTCGATTAATGTGTGTGATTCTTATAATAATTATTTTCTATGTTAATTAAAATCGATAAGGAAATCACGTGACGATCTTTTTTTTTTCCCCGCGAAACTATAATTTCAGAGCAATACATCGGCAAGGAAGGATAACTTTATTCCTTATTATTAATATTATATGTGAAGAAAGATAGAAGAAAAAGACAGCGAATATTTCAATTTGCTAGCGAATAAATTCGAAGCAACCACTTTTGACAAAATTAGACGAATGGATTAAGAAAGTTATTGAACTCTTAGATGGTATGCTCGTCAATATGTCTTCTACAAATTTTTGGATACGTTCCAATGAAGTCTATTGCATTTCCTATTTTCTACAACATTGAGATACACAATCGGCCATCGATATGTATATTTAATAACACAAATAAATTTTAGACAAAAGAAATTATTATGATTTTCTGGTTAATCAATGTGTAGGATTTCTTTATACATTCTTTAGAATAATAATACTTCTAATTTGTACTGATTTACAAAAAATAAGAATAACTAGACGTAATTTGTATTAGTAATATTTGTGTTTACTCATAAAATATTTGTGTCTATTGATATCATACTAAATTATCAAGTAATGAGATATCTATGCAAAATTATGTCAATAATATCTTACATTAGTCTCAGAAAAGCAAATGATTATCTTCTATAATATATTCGATGATGTAAGCATTTAGGTAAGACGTAACGTGACCGGTTGAAATGATTTTCGTGGATCATGTAGGTGCACGTGATGATCCTTCCCCTTTTAAGCTATTACTGAATAAAGATGATTTCAAATCGAATCAATAATATGGATCGTTTTCGAAATTTTTATTCGAATGCTGTGAACTGAAGCATTTCAGAAATATCGCGGCGGTAAAAGGCATCGTTCGAAACTATCGTGGAAGTCGTTAGCGAAGGCTTCTAAAAAAAGCACCAACGATAATCGTCCTCGACGAGCCGATAAAGCATGCAACGTACGTCTTATACCCCCTAGAAGCTCCTTCCCCAGTCGAGAAAGCACGGTGACGAGCGTGTGTTAACGATTTCTTCGAAACGTAATACAGTAGGAGCGGGTACTCGACAACTGTTAAGAGTTTTTCGGATTTAACAGATATCGAATACGTTTTCATCATTCTAATATGCTTTATTTTGAATTCTTTTCTGAAGTAACTTTTTATAGATTAAAAATAGGTATCTCGCAATATTGTAAGTTCCAAAATCGATGTCTATCGATAAAGACTATCATTATACTATTCAATATTTGTAAATCTCACGCAATATCCTATCCAAGATTATTATATATAGGTAATATATAAACGCAAGTGATTTAAAAATTTCGAAAAGTCCCAAGGCGCACGGGGAAACACATTTGCACGCGCTACGCGTATTTTTTCCCCTTCCTCTTGACCGTCCGCCCTTACTCTTAAACCTTGTCGCGTGATCTTCTATATCTCTGCTATTATAGCAGTTTCTCACCCACTCGCATCGTTCTATCTCGTTCGCGCTTACTACCCCACGTACCGACCTACTACTCTCTCTCTCTTTTTCTATTTTTTTTCTTACTCCCACCATACCGACCACGTATGAATAAAAGCCACGACCGGCTATAAAATGGCTACCGTTGTGATGACACACGGCACACACCACGCTGGGTTGGCTCTTGTTCGTTTATCGAGAAACATAGAAAGATACAAAAAGATTCCCGCGCGAGAGAAGATAAAACGAAGCCAACTGTGCGGAAAGGTCGAGGAGGAAGGAGAAGAAGCCACTGACGTCGTTGTTTGACTGTTCAATCACTAGTGCGCGTACCGGATCGGTAGCAGTGTTGGTTTTATCGACCCTGGTGCGTTTTTACGAAGATGTGTTCTATTTTTCTTTTAATATTACGACGTCAAATATTTTAATAACATCTTGGTTATATTGTTTTTCTATCACGCACCAGGATTTATTCATTTATATTGAATCGCGCGATTCTTTTTATAATCAGAGTAACGCTTGCTATTCTCTCCTCCCTCTTTTTCTCCTCGTTCATATTTTCGATCCGCATAAAAATCGGCTTGCGTTCACCGACAATGCGTCAAGTTAGCAGTGGCACGACCATAGTTACGGGTTAACGACGTATAAATAAATATATATATATATATATATATACATGAAAGCGTTTGCATAAAATTCGTTCTCTCTCGCATATAACACGGAAAAGAGAATGGCGACGAAAGAAAAAATGAAATGAAAAATAAGAAAATGTATGTACGTCGTCAAGTAACATTGTGTATCTGTATTTTTATCTATACAGTATATATATATATATATACACATACACACATATATGTATATGTATATATATATACAGGTATATAAACGATCAGTCGGGCAACGATACCGCGAAAATCGTCGTCCCGGCGTGAGAAAAGGCGGGACACGTCGTTTATCTCACGTAATATCGCCGATAGAAGTATAGAAAATGGAAAATATAAAACGGTGAAAGAGCGTCCTGCACTTGGGTGGTGTCTTCGGACGCACAGAGAGCGAGAAAGCGGAACGATTTTTCCCGAAGCCGAACCCGGGAGTGACTAAAATCGAAATCGGTGGACGAACATAGGGGCGCGTCAGGGCGCGCATGTGCGACGGCGCCGCCGGTCGTCGACGCATATTATCCGTCCGCGTCCCGTGGTCGTCTCGCGCTCTCTTGCCCTCGTGTGTTCTGCCTGTGTGTCTGCCTGCCTGCCTGCCTGGTAGCTTGATTTCGTTGCTTGCTTCTCTACCTACTAGTTAACCTCTTGTTATGCATCTCTCTTGAGAGCGCGCTCACCTACTAACCGAGCTGATCGCCTCGTCTCCCATTAACCAATCACGCGTACCGAATCTAGTCGAAACGAATAATCCCGAGTTTAGTCGAGTTTAGTCGAATCTGCCGGCCGGTGTTTCTCCGGTCTTCTTCGCGCGCCAATTTTCATTTTATTTCGTTTCATCGATCGCCTGCCTACCGACCGTCTTTCGCTGGACCCTTAACTTCCTCTTGCTCCTTCACCCCCACTGTTACCTCTTCTTGCCCTTTAATCTCCCCTCTTCATCCTTCATCCAATAGTATGTCTTTTAAAGATCCAGCTGGTTACAGTCAAATTAAACGCCATCTTGTGCGAGCGACGACAAATAACTCTTTTGAATATATACACACACACACAGACGTTGTTTTATCGCGCGTAAATTTAAAATGTTCGAATAATTCGCATGGTAGTATTGTTTGAATTGAACGATAGATTGATGACGTTCGAAAGAATGTTTAATTTATAATCATGCCAACTAGCGTATAATTTTAATTACTTACTTTTTCTTTTAGCAATACGTTTCTTCCATCGCTGACGATCCTCGTAATTTCTACATTTGTCGATTTCATCTTTTTTTGATAAAATTGTAACTGGTTCCATTTCATCGAATGACTGATGAACATTTCCTTTTTCTTCAGATGACACTTTTAAGAAGATCATCTTATGAATAATGGTTTTTACATATGATTTTAATATAATAATTCAATGAAATAAATGTTAATAACTCACTCATCAATACGTGTGGTTTTCCAAGTTCCAGATAACGTTTCCTCGCCAATTGAGCAGCTGCAAAATTCGGTTTATGATTATGCTCTATACTTACTTGCGGCTTCCTGCAATTTTTTGTTGTTAAGAGAGTTCCTCTGCAATGGGTTGTTCTACCGACGCATCTCCAACGGATGTGTTGAGGGTGTTTCTTATGCATTGTGTACATGTAATCATTGTGAATCAATTTTGGACCACCTTTATTCGATAATACGATCTGTTAAAAAATTATTTCTTATAATAACTATATCAAATATACCTATGTTTCAAGTGATTTAGTTTTTTCAGCAATAATGGTCAAACATTTTACTACCTCGGGTACGGAATCATCTATGTTCACATTTTGACACTCAAATGATGCTACCATGGTACCGCTTAAGTCATCTTGATTTATTTCCATTGAACGATCATCGGACGATGATTGCTTTTCCCGTGACATTTTTTTGAAATGTACAATCTGCAACGAAAGACGTTGATGTAAAAAAAACTTTGGAGAACATCGCATTGCATCCAAAACATTCAACTTCTTTTATTTATATAAGTATGTAATAAATTTGAATAATACTATTATTTGAAGTAGGAGATATACGCGAGATCAAAGTTTCGATTAGCATGAAATTCATCGGGAATATTTCTGCGTATTCTACGAGCTTAAAATAACTTCGATGGACAGATGGTTGGCTTTCGATATGATTTTTGAGGTTACATGTATTTGCACGTGATCTAAAATGATCGGTTAATTTTCCGAAGATCATCAGCAATATTTTTCGACGTTCGAGAAATGCACTCTGCTGTTTGGCAAACTTTGACGCGTATAAGATCAAAGAACTTATTCTGTGATATATTATTTTTGAAGAGTCAACATGTGTGCATTTTCTTTAGCTCGATGTTTTATTTCGAGATATAATATAATATCTTATAATAATAATAATAATAATAATATAATAATAATAATAATAATAAAAATAATAATATCTGGGGTGCAAACACTGGTTTATCTTTATTAATAAGTACATAAATATCAACAACTATGATATTTACGATGTACGCGATCCTTGCTGTGTCGAAAGATGTGGGTGAACGAAGAAAGCGAGCAAAAATTTGTCGCGTACTTTATACCTGCGAAAAGTGTTAGGTAGAGGGGGATGTGTGCAACGGTTGCGTAGGCCCGACAGGGAGACATCGCTGCTGTGTGTGGCTGCATTTTTATATAACCCTAAACACAAGTAGTTTCGGATAATCCTAATCAAACAGTTTTGGGATAGCCCTGATTCCGATAACCATCGAACCTATCGCTTTGTTCTTGCGGACAAGAACGTGAAAGTTCTTAACCCTAACGGAATGACTGTTACAAATATTAATAGTAGTAATATAATAATAATAATTTTTCTAAACAATACAAACATAATGATATTAGAAAAGAACAAAAATTGTCAACTTTCATATAGATATCTAAATGCATCAATTTATTACGATATAAATAGTTAAGCGAACAGTATCATTCTTGATTATTTTGTTTTTTTTTTTTTTTTTTTATAATGACATCCAGCTTACGTGAATCGAGAGAAGAAGTTCAGTGTATGAACGGTTTTCGAGAGCAATCAGTTTTCGTTCGTTTTGAGAATTGCCGATAAGAATGTTGTATCGATCAATTTTTGGATGATCAACTTCAGAATTAGTTAGACTAAAAATCGTTTCTCTTTAACGTTTGTAAAACGGGATGAAACAGGATGCGTGATATAATGATTACACAAATGAACAACGAGAACCGTTGGCCCACAATGAAAGTGAGGTCTTGCGCGTGGCGCTTCGGGCCTGTTTCATGCCAATCGATAAACAGTACTGCGAAACATTATTAGATGAACAAGATAATTATTTTTTCTTAAAGAATATCACTTTGGTTCTTTTTTCTTTTACAGTATTCTAAAAAATCTGAAGACATTTTGATGGAGTTTAAAGATGATATTGTTATGTAAAAATTGTACAGGAAAGTTGCAAGGTGGTTGGATAGGTGTTTGGATAATCGTAATCTTACATTATTTTTCATCATTTTCAAAGTAATTTATAATAGTACAGTACAATATTAATGAAATCAATTATATATTAAACATTATTTGTTATTGTTGTTGTTGTTTTTTTTTGTTTGTATGCATTATGTTACCAGATAACAATACAGATGAGATTAGCAGGTGTTCACCTTTATTAGCGCTACCTTACCTTCCGTCCCCGGCGCTGGCTAATTAATTATTTATACGTTACCTTAAATCGCTAGATAACTTTTTATATATCTTCAATGGAGTCTTTTCTATCTATCTTCTTTTTTTAATCTTTCCACCCCTACGTTTGCCTCAAGTATTTTCCTTTCCGTCGCATATTGGCAGCGTTTCAATGGTAAGAACTTGAAATAATTATTAAGGGAAGCCCACTCCGACTTACAAGGGCATCTTCATCACATTTCTAACCACAGATTTTGTTTGAACTTTGTACACTTATATACTGGTCTATGAGGATTATACATTGCAATCGTGAAAAGTTGCTAATGGCTAACAATTTGAGCAAAAAAGAAAGGTAAAATTATGTACAAGTTTCGATTCTTGCTTATGTATTTTGTTTCAGTAGCGTAATGGGTAGCGGCCTGATGTCGCTGAATCGAGTCGTCAACAGAGAGGATTTTTTTCCTTGATTTATTTGTTCATTATTGTAAAGAATGTTTAATTAACTTTATATCTTTTTTATTTTTCTAGAGTGCGTTATATTAATTTTATAGGGAACATAGTCAAAACAAAAAAAAAAACAGATTAAAAATTAATTTATGTTAATTTTTGTGTTTTATTTTATTTACAATTATTTATTATATTACCTGCGTAATGTTGATTTTGTAATAAAATAAAAACTTTATAATATGAATGCACTCATTTTTTCGACTATGCTCCCTATAAAATTAATATAACATATTCAAGAAAAATAAAAAAAGAAATAAAGTGAATTAAACATACTACTGTTTACAGTAACGAAAATAAGGAATAATAAAAAAAAATCAAGGAAAAAATTCTTTCCGCCATACCTGCTACTGAAGCAAAAGATATAAGTAAAAATAAGAATCGTTGCGAAATTTCTACCCCACACTTTTTTCCGCAAATTGTTGACCATTAACAAATTTTAACAGATGCAATGTATATTTCTCATGGACCACTACAAGTATACAAAGTTTGAAAAAAATCTAAGGTTGCTAATGATGAAGGTGCTCTTGTTAGATAACAAATTGCTTTTCTTTCTATCTCTTTGGTTTTGTTTTTTTTCTTTTTTAAATATTATTATTGTGTTATTATTATTATTTATATTATTATTTATATTATAATTAATAATATTATTATTATTATTTCTTTTTTATTCCTAGGATTATTAACACATTCGTGACCGGTGTTGTTTGGGCGAGATATTAAACTAGATATCAATACATAATATTACTCGAAATATAAAATATATTGAATTAAAAAATAATACTACAATTTAACTAGTTTAATAAGAAAATATAATCGAAATAAACGGTAAACAATTAAACGAAATTAAATAAATTAATAATTAAAATATAATACTTAATTTTGACGTAGGATTACGTTACCGATCTCGAATGTATTAAATCAAATTCAATACAGAGATTAAATTATCTTAAAGGCACAGGCAACGCGTGATACAGAATTGTTAAGTTACGATTGCTATCGTATAAATACTAATTTAAATACATAACTCGGAGGACAAGATAAAAAAAAAAAAATCATTAATTAAATAATACGCCGAAAACTGCGATAATGATGTTTTTAACGCTTAACATAATTATTGGCATAATCGTATCTATTAATTTCATTCTTTATTTCTGTTTAATAAGAGCATAAAAGCAATTAGTGGATATATAACAACTCCTTAAAAAATGTCTGACTATTTAAATCCTTTGGACTTTCCTTTTAGTAATTTATTTAAAACGTTTACGTTCGACATATTTGTATATCATTCTATGAAATCGCAATAACGATTCAAATAAATTTTTATTTTTTTTTTTCGAACAGACCTGTGTGTGTGTGTCATTGTTCTTTTTAAAAAAAAAATACTAAGGGAGTAATGAAAATTATATATACCGCAATGCTGAATAAGAAATAAAATCTATTTATCATCTAAAGCGAAATAGTATTACACTAGGGTTTTGCGGATTCATAAATACAAGAACATGAATGAATCTAACGAGTACGCCCAAATGTAGGAAGCTGTTATATAGAAAGTCGTCTTTTTCTTATTAAATAATCATCATAAGAGTTAATATAATAATGATAATAATAATATAAATATCAAGATCGATAAATAATAAATATTTATGTATATTGCACTTCTGTTACGTTTGTATTTCTACTATAAATCTATTAATTTTATTTGTTCTTTTTCTTTACGATTCACATTTACGAAGATAAATGGAAGATAGACGTAAAAAGTTGCCGATGCCTTCAAAATTTCTATTTTCGTTTACGTTTTTCTCTTGCTTTCTTTCTTTCTTTAATTATTTTCCTGTTTGTTTTATTCTCCTCCATTTTTCCTCCTTTTACCAAATGTTTATATCGTGACAAAATTTGTAAGATACGTAGAGATATTTTATTAACATTTCTATTTAGCACGCACATTCTTTTTAAAAAGAACATCTCTCAAAGCTGCCATTAATTATGTTTTCCCTTTTTGTTTTCTCCTTCTTTTTAATAAGATGCATTAATTTTGCCAAGATTTTCCAGCAAAACTCTGGCAGTTCTTGAAAAGACGTAATACGCTAGCTTCCATATGTATATATATATACGTAAGTTATGTTTATCATTTTGCTATATATGCGTATATCGCCATTTTATATCGTTATAATTCATCGTATGCGCCAATGCATTACGGAGGACTCAAGGATTTTTTTTTCTAAGAATTATTCTAAATCATAGCGACGATGCCTTACGACGTGTTATCACTTTACGTCATATGGATGTAGCAAAATATCTACCTAGGTATCTTACGTCACAGAGTTAAATAAAAGAATGTCAGATACCGACCATATAAAAACATGACGAATGCGTGTTCCCCATATGATCTACCATAAATTATATTTGTTTCTTTTTTGTAGCTGAATCATCGGGGTGTACTACGCACGAAAAGCTACGCTAAGGATGTCTAATTTAATGATAAGTGAATGTCATCGTCGTTGTTGTTATTGTTGTTGCTCTTGTATGATATTCTTTCAGAATTGACGTTGTTCCGTTAAGCATCAATATTAATAATGAATCGTATTTTTACGATGCTTTTTTTTATACGAGGTATTGGTATATAGCTGGATATTCATCATTTACATTCACTTGAAAATATTTTCACTTATGTACGTCGACCGTTATTACACAATTTAAGAGATTGGACAATATCAATGCTAGTAATAGTATTAGTAGTATAGTAGCGGTATAGTTGTAGTAATAGTAGTAGAGTAGCAGTAGTAGTAGTAGTAGTAGTAATAGTCATAGTAATAGTCATAGTAATAGTAATAGTAGTAGTAATAGTAGTGTAGTAGTAACACTAGCAGCAGCGGCAACAGCAGCAGCAGTAGTAATAGTAGTAGTAATAATAATAACGATAATATAACAATGATAAAAATAATAATAACGACGATGAAAGTAGCAATTATAATAAAAAAATAATCTATAGCGTACCTCTACATGTATTTACTATATTTAATTGATAATGATATTGTATAATTTTTATCAAAAAAAGAAATTAAAGAACACGACAGAGAACGATGAATCATGGCTACATCTCTCGTTAATATAACTATCTATCTATCGTTCTTATTGGCATAAGAATGCTTATTATGCATCTACCATATTGTGGGAACATTCACATATTTCGTACCTTGTTCTTTCATAGCTCGGTAACCGACACTCTTTATTAAATAATTCCTAGTCATTACTAATATTTACGAACAAATAGAAATGTCGAAAAGGCCAACTCATGGGAGCAAAGATAGCGCTTTATCGTCGGGGAGGCTGAGCAATATGGTCGAAGAACAATTCGCACCTTTAAATTATGCTCTATGATTAGCTTCTGCTTTGTTTTGTGTTTATCACATTCGTTGGCCGGAGTTCTGAGCCGTCAAACAATCATGCGGCACATACGGAGTATGATAGACAAGAGCGAATAAGAGGCAGAACGGGCCATAGATCTATGTAACAGCAGAACATGTAGTACTATCAACAGCATTCCAAACTGTACTGCTTTGTGAAGCCAATATAATCTGAAACACACGTAAAAGAGATGAAGATTAGCTACTTTAATAGAAAGCAAAGCAGATCCGTTAGAGGCTGACTATATTATTTACTTTGTAATATGTGAGCGGGCAGCTGGCAGTGTGCTTGGGTTCTGTTTCATAATAAACTGTCTAATTCCCAATATATAATGTTCCAAGTACGACGGCCAATCAATCTGTTTGACGTCGAACATAAATGTCTGCCGATCTTCTAAGCTCAGTTGTTCTCCTAATCTCCTCACATTAGAATCCCTAAAGTTCCACTGATTCGTACTGAAGTATTCCAAGCATTTAGTGGCTTTGGAAAGCTTCGCCTGTATATGAACCATTATAGGTCGTGAGCCCTTCAGACGAGCTAAAAGATCTAAAGTGTGAGCAGGTAGCATGTGCTGGAAGATTACGCACGCTTTATTTAAAAGTGCGGAACTACGGCACCGACCACCTGGATACCAAAACGCATTGTTTACTGGATGCATCCGACTGTATTTGAAGGATAAATCAACAAATTGTTTCCAAGTGATAGGATTCTGTTGACCAGAACAACAATTATAAATAGTGATGGTGCCTGTATGTTGTGTCGCAGTTTTCCACGCAGCGCATATCATTAAGTTGATCACTATATCGACTGGAATTAGATCAGCTACTTTATTCTCATGACATAACATTGTTCTAAAAATAAAGATAAATAGGCATGATTAGTCATGAGTATTTTTTGCTTGATACGTATTTTAAATTATTCGTTTAATCTGTATAATTTCTACCTAAAGAAGCCTTGACCAGCTGCCGCAATGATCCCAGTAGGGCCATTCCAATTTTCTATCCAACCAGCGACAGGTTCTTTTAAGGCTGATAACACAATCGATGGTCTAACAATCGCGACAGGTAGAGAACCACTTTCTCCTTGAAGCATTTTTTCCGCTAAAGCTTTGGTAAAAGTATAAGTATTTGGTCGATTAGCGATCAATTTCGGTGTTAATTCATCGATCATCTCGTCGTCCATTGACTTGGTCCAAGAGATCACTTGTTCGGGATCTTTCGCAAGTGGATATATTTCCTCAGCTACATCCTTCCGATCGCAGTTGCAGTATGCCGTTGACACATGAATGAGAGCCTGCAATTAGCAACTTCATTTGCCTTTCTTTTCTATTTCTATTCAATTGTATATTACATTACACGTATTTTATTTATACTTATTTGGCTTAATATTTGAGTTAATTTTTTTAAACAAATGAAAACACAATTCTTACCTCCAACTTGTGCATTCGATGGCACAATTGAATAAGACGTTGGGTACCTAATATATTTATAGTGACCGAAAGTTTCAAGGCCTCGTCGAATTTTACGGTGGCGGCCGAATGAAAGACGATCGATACGCATTGTATCAGTGTCTGTCTATCCGTTTCCGAGATGCCGAGATCTTGTTCCGTAACATCTCCTGCTACAGGCACGATTTTTGAAAGCGCACGAGGGAAACTACGTCGTAGCTTTTCAAATAACTGTTGAAAAAATAATTAAGAATAAGATCATTATTATTATTGTTATTTTCTTTTGTGAGAAAACATATAATTTTTCAAATTTTCAAAGCAATCGTTAACGAGTTACATCAGTGGTTCCCAAAGTATGCGGCTCGGCGCCCTGGGGAGTTGCAATTTTCTAATAGGGATAGGATGCAGGACGAAATATTAAATATTTTTACCTAACCCTTGCAAACAAATTATTGGCTATTTCGCAAAGAGTATTTGTTAGAATTTGATATAGGCTGTGACTTGGGAAAAACTGGATTTAGCAAGAATGCCGAGAATCGAACAAATTTTGGAACCAGTAAGTTTCATGACTTTCTAATACTATTGTTAATATTTATATTCAATCAAAGAAATAATATCTCGAAGAATATTAATGAACGCATAAACAATTATGCGTTAAGCGTTAGAATAGTTAGAATTAGTAAAGAATACAATCTTACCGGTACATCGAGGAGTTCTTGCAACCTTTGCTGCACATCTTGTCCATTTTTTGGCCTCATGAGCAAATAAATATTTTTTATACCCGGACATGAACGTAGCAGCTTCTCAACAAGGACTTTGCCCATGAAACCGGTACCACCAGTTATAAAGATTGAACGATCTCTATAGAAATCCTTGACGGATGTGTATTCACTACCAGCCATCGTGGCCATGTCTTTCTTACTTTATCCTTTTAATTTTATAATTTTATTAATTTTATTCCTTTTTTTTCTCGTTTTACCTATTAATGTTTTTCTTTAGTCTGCTTTGGTTTTGTTTTGTTGACTTTTTTCACTTTCAACCGATTAAAATAGATTTTTCCTGTTTGTTTCTTTTTTATTCGTCTATTCTAACGCTGATTTTTTTTTAGATTATTTTCTTAGATACGAGAAAACGTACTCTGAAATAAGTGATGCGGCATAGGCTGGCACATGTATTTACTTTCCCAAGATTTTCCAAAGGGATAATGCGAAGCGGTCACAATTACTGAACTCATTTCGTACCTTTTACAAGTACAATTTTATTCCTAAAAGGAAAAAAAACAAAATATTAGGTTGAACAACAAGTCTGTTTGTAGCGTTGTTCTCATGCAAAAAAAAATGATACATATAATTGATTAGATAAGTCTGATATAAAAATAAAAAAAAAAAAAGTTAAAAATTATTTATTTCTCTTTTGTGTTTTTTTTTTTTGCTTTTAATCATATGGTTTTATTTTATCTCGAAGAAGATCAAGAAAGTTATCATTATGTAGATATTTCTATGGAAAAAATGTATATTTCTTTTTACAGAAGATGTATAAACTTATTGTTAGCCGACCGATCAAGGAGATTTTCCATTTTTTCTTTAGCAACATTTGCCTTGCTTCCTTTTTCTGCATTTATAAAACAGAATTTTTAACGAAATCTTATAAATAATTTCAATTTAAAGTTAATGAAATAAGCTTAACTCTCTCCATTGAAACTAAATAAGAAAAAGAAATAGAGAAATATATATATATATAGAAAGTGTGTGCGTGCGTAGGAGAGAAAGAGAGGGAGACTCGAGGGTGGAGGACAAACTGGTGGAGAANAATTTTATTTTATAATATAAATAATTTGTATATATATATAAAATACATCATAAAATCAACTTATTCAATTTTTTGATTAATAATAAGTCCAACATCATAATTACCATACATTTCTCTATCTCTCTTTTTTTTTCTATCCTATCCGATTTATACTTCTCTGATGATACTATTTTACGAGATTTCTCATACTCTATCTATTAAAGGGCTTCTCTTGTGTCCTTGTATTCAATAGAATCCAAAGAATCCATCGGACTGTTTCATTAATGGCAACGTTATATAAGTATGTTATAACGTCATATATGATAACATATGTTCATGTTATGGCTAATGTGGAGAAATGTGGATTCTATAGAATGCCCAGAATATTTTGGTAAATTTATAAACTGTGCCTTATTTAGAAGTGTTTAGACAATAACACAGCCAACTGAAGCACATTTTATTGACCAAAACTCTCTAGACATTCTATAGATTAACCGAGCAATATATACAATGCCTGCAGTAATAATATATACTATATATAATACTATATAAAATATTATAATAATTTATATTTCTTTTTCATTTATACGAATATATATATAAGTTTTTATTAAAATTGCAATGTAATCAGTAAATTGTAACTACTTTTTTCGCATAACGAGTATACTAATCGATCATAGAGATAATACTGATTAATTGATTTTATTATATTTATGCACAAATTTTCAATTTTCTATTACATAATAAAAAACGCATTTGTAACTTAACACAAAATTCGAAATTTCTTTTCTCTTGGGTAAGAAAAAGAATATTTCTTGATAGATATATAGCAAACTTTGTTACGATTTTATGACAAATACATTGAATTGTATATATTTCTATAGAATGATTCATTGGATGTAAGAAACAACATACATTGATATAAGAAATTTATACTTTTTTTTCTTGTTTATTCTTTTCTATTTTATATTCAGAGATTAAAAAACTGAATGAACGTGCTAAAAAAGAATTGATGTACATAAGTATAGACAGCACGCACGCAAATAGATAAAATTAGAATAGAGAACATAAACACGCGATGCATTGAAAGCGGAATATTACCGTTCTTATGTACCATATGTAATTATTCGGTTGTTGGAAAGGAAGCATCGGCTATACGTATATCACGAGTACGTTCAAAGGACTTTATAATAAGACATCGCTCTGATAAAATTACTTTTCTTAAATTTGTTTTCTTCATAGAATCGAATAGATTTGAATAAATGGAAAAAATGAAAAAAGAAATCTTATCGAAAGGAATGTAACAATCGTATTTATCTTACTTTGTTCTAGCCCCATTTATAAATCTTTAATATGTAAAATAAAGAGATGAAAGTGAGAGCAAAATAAAAACTTCTTCTTAAGACAGATGAATGATACATAGTTACATAATTAACAAGATGATATAACGAAGATTTTATAGACATTTTTGATTTTCATTTAATTAAACCACATTAGAAGATTCCGATTTTTGTAAATTTATCTTTTGCTACCTAATATCCATGTAACTTTGCAAAATATACATTTTTGACATGGTTATAAAACAGAATGATTCAAGATTTCTGCAAGAAATTTCTAGGAACAATAAATTTCGTAGAAAATATCTCTGTATAAAAAGAATCAATGTACACATGTAAATGAATTCATTGTATAATTATAACTAATGTCAAGATACATATATAACAAAAATCTAACGATAGCATTAAATGGAAGTATCAAAAGACACATTCGTAATAATTTGTTCAATAAATTTGCTAAATTATTCTGTAAAAATTGAACAAAAATCGTTCACGCGAGTAATAAAAAGCTTTCAACAGATATCATATTAAAAGCAATTATTTTCATTTGAAAAATATTATTTTCTATAAATAAAAAAATATAATAATAAGAGGCATAATAAAATTCCAGATTACTAAAACGTGATTTTCACTGATGAAGAAGAACAAATAAAAATATTCTTATTTTTATGACGTTTGATTATAATGACCCCTTAAACAATAAATCAAAGAAATTAGAAAGTTCCAAGTACTAGTCAGCGTAGTAGTGCGTTAGGTCAAGAATGATATTCTACGAGAATACGTTATGTCAAAAGAGAAAGAAAAAAAGAAAGAAAAAAAGAGAGAGGTAGAGAAAGAAAGAAAAGTAGACGTAGGTAGACGTAGGAAAAATTTTAAATAGAGGATGATTACAATGAAGCTTACAATGATGCAGAGAACGAGGAAAGAATTTGAAGGTATTCTAGGTCAGTGTTCCGGCTTCGAAGTGGTCATCGGATGCCACCTCCTTTAGATGCACACTTGCACGTGTGGGCGCGCGCACACACATAACGAAAAGAAAAAGGAAAAACATGGAGGAAAAAAGAGGAGAGGAATCGTCGGTCGACCCCGTTACATGAAAACCCCGTTATGCGACGACATTGATAGCAACCGAATAACTGACTCATTTTCACCTTCTTTCTTTTCTTTATTTTCCATCGACACCATCTTCAATTTACCACACACACATTTATTATTATTAATATTCTTATATTTCCATTATTTTTTTCTCTTTCTTTCATGATTATATTATTTCATTTTCGTTCTTACGGCAACAAAATCTAATTTTCTCTATTAAACGGTTAAATTGTGGTAACCTCTTTAAAAAGTGTATACTTAAATTGTGTCGTTGAAATGAAGCGATGAGAAGTATATTCACCAAACAGAGAGTTTATGTTGCTGTATAGTAATATTCAATTAAACTGTAATTAAATGATTGATTTCAGTTTGTTTTTTTCTTTTTTTTTTTTTTATATATAAAATTAATAATTTTTATCACTAACATATACTTATTTATTTAATTGAAACATATAGTTTAAATATGAAGGAAAAATAGAGAAAATAATTAATTACTTAGAAAAGTGATTAGTCAGAAATTTAATTTGTTTTTGTTGAATGATATTAAATAAAGCAGGATTCAATATATAATTACATTTAACAAGTTGAACACCAATATCTTGATTTTTTCCTAATAGTATTTGTGAACTACTTTGTTCACACTGTATTTTCATAATTAAATTATCAAAACTTATCATCTACAATTAAACATATTAACTTTTTATTGATATATATATGAGATTTATCATTTTTTTACTATGTAATTATAATTCCAGATTGAATTTCTAGTTGGTTTTTTAAAGACTGAAGATATATACATAATCATCATCATTGATGAGTTTAATATATGTAACATCTGTTTTTGGCGCGTGGCCAAGTAGATGTTCTGAAAGATATCCATCAGGAGAAACTAAATTTTATTGATTTACAAACTGTCTAATTCATTTATTTTATTAATGAATATTTACTAATTTGATCGTCCTATTCAAATATATTCTTAACAGAAAATATAAACACACTTTAAAGTTTATCCTGTAAATATATTTTGTGATTAACGAGCCTTTAAATTCTCGAATATATGCGAAAATAATTAAGAGAACAGAGGAGTTTCTAAAAACTCGACAAATTCAATTGATGGATAAATCTTGGTATCCATGGTAAACTATAGTTATTCGCTATATAACACTTAATGAAACAATAATAATGCATTTGTCGATATATTAATTTTTTATCTAAACCATATTCTTTATTTTTCTAATCTTACTATATTTTGATCATTAAAAAAAACTCAAGTTGATAGAGAAAAACTAAGAGAAGTAATATTTGTACATTTATGGTACGGAATTCCATACATCAGTAACTTTCTAAACACCATTTGCAGTATAGCATAAAGATTGAGTTAGAAAATGTATGCATTCGATAAATACACGCGATGCAAGAATTTAATATCAATTGGAATACTTTCATGTTGTATTAGAAAATCATAATTGTATCGATAATTATATGAAAGTGGATTATGTCAAAAGAAGAAAAATAAAAAAAAAAACAATTTTTATTATTTATTTTATATACATATAATTATTTATATATTATAAAATAAATCATAAAATGATTTTTTTTTGTTAATTTTTGTTAATCACAATTAGTCCATTGTTATAATTATCGGCACATATATGTATACAAATATCGAAAGATGTTCATATTAATTATTTCATCCATTAATACGATAAAATTGATTGCTCAGTGTAAATCTACTGTTTTTCTGCTAAAAATAAAATCATCTGCTCAAAATAATACCATTGATAATATTCTGATAAAAAAACATGATATTTAAATAATAAAAAACTATTTTGAATATAAGAACGGATTAAACACATTTGGATACTTTACTATAAAAAAGTAGACATATCTAATACCGTATAAAATATACATTAATCATTTCTAAATAAAAGATAATATTTTTTATTCACTATATCCAATTGATTAAAATTTCATTCTATATTAAAATATATATTTTTGTTAAAGTTCATTTGTTTAAAGATTAATAGTTGCACAGACATTTAGA